GAATATGGCTTCCGCCCCATCTGCTGTTCGTCGCACACTGGTGTGTTACAAAAAATCTGCGGAAGATTGGTTTTCATTTCTCAAACCGTAATTAGAAAGTATTTTTATTACACACCAGTGTGTGATGAACAGCAGATGGGACGAATCCCATATTCACAAAGACCCGCTGTTCAGTGATGGTAACCGGCAACCTAAACCCGTAGACTTGGAGTGGCGAACCACATAAGGCCCCGTTATTTCAGGCGTGGTATTGAACCGGACGACAGCAAAGCTGCCTACCACCAAGGTTGGGTGGCGGTGGTGGGGCTCGGACCACGAGGTCAGAAGCACGCCGGTGACGGCGACTAAATCACTGCGTCACCACCACTGCCAATCCACGAAACATCTACCCTGCATATACCACTCCTTCTCTGCTGTTGTTCCCCTTCGGTCTTCTCATCAGCTATTATCCACGGGATGTATTTGTGGTATGGTACTAGTTATCCTCTAGACTTTTTAGTGTCCGCGGCGAATCTCGAAAAAATCAGTCTTTTGTGCTTTGGATCCAAACAGATCACATATCTGATGATTGTTTCGGCCTTTCACCGTTAAACTCAGGGTCATGGACCAGCGATTATTTTAGATATCTCCGAAATAGTGTGCATTTAAGAACACTTGCGCACTTGAGATTCCTACACTGGCGTGCATTTCCTGCTGAAAATGTAATCGTCCATGTTCATAAATGAAGGCAAACACATTTATGTGGGGCACAATCGGACGGGACTGTAGTATATGCACTGGGGCCTTCTGGTAAGGATTATTTCACTGGAAGGAGGGGAGCTAGGAAAGTTGGATGTCAATTGAGCCCTATGTGACACGCAGATAAAGATCCTCTGCGTATTGACAATTAGATGACATCACTTCGCTTTCTGTCGAAGTAGCTGACTTATGATATATATATATATATATAGTTATATATTTCACACACGTCTGAATCCAGACTGTGCCAAACAAATCATGGTACAATAATCTTCATGAAAGAAGAAAAACGTTCCATGATTTGCATGTGGGCGGAATACTGCCAGGTTGCCCAGGCCAACGCAGGTGAACTTTCTTGAGGAATCCACAACGGGAGCCTTCGGCTAGCCAAAGCCTGACCCGCAAGGCAGCGGGGCAGTTTGTGAAAACCGCAATTAATTGGGGGTGGGTGTCCAGTTCATTAGATCATACACCCTTTGGGCGGGGTCAAACGTCCAGGGCGCCCAATACACCTTGATATTCAATCGAGCCGGTGACCAATTCCACAAACAGAAAGTTGTGTGTGTGGTTCGTACGTCTTTTCATGGCTGGTTTGGAATCAGGGTTGTTAGCCAACTCCCCTAGGTGAACTACCAGTTGTTCACGAGCCCGCTTATACCCCCCGGATATCGGCTTTTCGTCCTCTCACTTTGGTGGGGAAAGCGCCACGAGAAGGCAGTGAGTAGAGCTTCCTCAGCAGAGGCCATGTGAGATGCGTGGTCGTATGGGAGCATTTTGCGAGGTGCAAGGGTAGGGTGACCACTGGCAACCCGAGGCACCCACCTCCGACCATATTGAGACTTTTGGAGGCTGTTTGGTTCAGTGACGTTTATGTTGTTGTATGAAACCCGAACACGTTTTGCTGTTAACTCTGCGTGTGAATGAACTGTCTGTGTACCTGACGTATATATTTTGGAAATTTGTAGGGAGTCTATCAGGTATAAACCTGCTAGCACAGCGAATTCAGGTTAGTAAGCTTCGCTGGCTAGTGCACGTATTGCGTATGCCCAGCCATCGTCTGCCGCACTGCGCTTTATTCGCTGTAGCTTATCCGGGCTGGAGAAAACCCCATAGAGGTCAATATATAACGTGAAGACTAGGCATGAAGAAATGCACAGTGCGACTAGGCAGAATACGTGTCTCGCGCCTTCCAGTTTGGGGTCCGAAAGACTTTGCAACTGGTTGGTTGGAGAAATTGAAGCATATGGCAGCGAACATCCTCGCAGTGGCGTTCTTGTTGTCATTTCTTATTAGGCCAGAATGGATGGAAAGGTATGTCTTCACAGTTAGAGTGCGTACTTTGTGTGTTGACGATAAAGGTTCATTTTCTCCGCGCTCCCTCACAATAGGTCCATTTCCTGTTCACCTTACATATTACCCCTAACCTTATGTGCCTTACGAGCTTGGCAGAGATCGGTGATGTTCGCTTTACTGCATTTCGCTGTACGCTGATGCTGCTGATGACAGTTGTGCTTTGTAGTCTGTATCGACCGTACTGGGTCTTTTTTTCCTTACCAGACGACAGATGCTTTTCCTATCCACCTTACTCATTATGGGGGCGAAGTTCGCTCCTCTGTATTGTGCTGTACGATGATCATGTTGATGAGAGAAATTAGTCTTTGGGCCAAATAAGGCGGTAGAGTTTAAGTAATTTCAGTCGCTATCAGTGGTTCGCTTCGAGATTGGAGCCCCATTCCCGCCTCTCAAGTCTGAATGATTGACAATTACACTATCGTTCAGCTCAGCACGGGACAGTGTGTCTTCCTGACCATACCATGAACTGTCTCACTAATCACTCCTGGTGGGGGATTTTAACCGGTATCTGATAAGTAAGTGTCACGGATACTACAGATTTGAGTCAAACTAACGGACTAAGCACATACCAAACACAGAGTTAATTATTTCGGGTAAAATCTGGTCTACTGCCAAACCAGTGCGATCATTGCACGTGAATGTACGACGATGTCAGTGTCCTGGTCAGCATAGAGTCACCGTGGACTTCATTCGTGTCATTTTGAGGTTGGACCGGTTTCACACTTTGTCGGGCATAGTTCTGCCTGGTTTAGTCCCAGACTGATCTCGCTGCATCATAATAGTCACTCAGCAGTTTTTTATAGTGCATCTATACAGAGCTTAGACAGACATGTGTGGACAGCTTTGTACAAGTAAGTACATACATACCACAGAGTTACTGTTATTGAGAATATCTCTGGGATGTGTTACTTTGTTTTGCATTAAAAACTTTTTGGTATCAGTTGCATACCGTCTACAGAAATCATCTGCCTCATTCAATCATTTATATGCGTATTTTCTACCATTCTAAACTGTTGTCACTGTCCGGAAATGGAAATGGGAATCGATTGACTGCGGTAAAAAACAATTTTCTCGTTTTCCAAATTTGTTCCGTATTTGCTACGTGCCGGGCTATCACTGGATTCACATGCCTCCTCCCGCATGGCACACTGTGTGTGTGTGTGTGTCTGTACTGATCCATGACGCTGTCAAGTGGTTCGTGTGCCACACGTTCGCATCCACGACAATCGTGTTGATTATTCGTATATCATTCTAGTGGTTTCATTTCGTCCCGCCCCCAGCTGATGCGCTCTTGAATAGTGACAGTTTCGCTATGTATGCAGTTTTCATCTTGAATTGTTCTATACAGTATCCTTTCGAGACCACCGTTCAGGCAAGCAGTTGACTTCTTTGGCGAAGTAATCTGTTCAGGTCTGTCACCAACCGACCAACCAACACGGATGATGCAGTTTTGTTGTCACAGCAGACTATCACACTTTTTGCACTTTGCCTTATCTTTTCCACCTGTGTGCTCCCATACTTTCTTTCGCTGCGGGTCAGATCATCAGATCGCGTGATCCAATCAGCTCAGTTAGAATATGCTCTTCGGACAAAAATGTTTTGCGGTAGAATAGTTTTAGATTCTACCAAAGAACTCTGCGCGAAATTGGGATTGGGCCTAATTGAAGGGAGGTAAAGAAAGTGAACCTCTATGGTCGACACACAGAGTACACAATCTAAGTGTTCATACATACCTTTTCAAGCATTCTGACCTGATAATTAATTACAACAAAAACGCCACTGCTGTCGTTTTGCTGCCATATCCTTCAGTGTCTCCAACCAGCCAGTTGCAGTCTTTCGGACCCCAACC